TTATATGTCGTAATAGCGCGCCGTTCGCTTTTAAATTGCTGCTGATTGATTGCTGCGATAGCCATGCATATTCGACCTTCATTTTGTATTGATTGCACGTTGTGTTGTCGACGCATGGTGGTTGGAAGTTGAGGCGTCGCGTTTTTGTGATGAAGTGGACGGCTCGCTTGGGTGGACGGCTCGCTTGGGTGGACGGCTCGCTTGTGGAATACGTTAGTTGACTAGTTATAACTATCTTTCCTCCCGCTCAATAGCTAGCTTCCTCACCTTCATCAATACAACAGCTTTTGGCTACGCACCTTGTCTTGATCCGCTTCCCCTCTGACTGTCGCTCAACAATAATCCGGACTGCGCCTAGAGAGAGAGAGCAAACAAGACGCAAACACCCATGGATATGACAACTTAATGCCCAGCTCCTTCTACAGAGTAGCACCGCTGAGGTGGCGGTTTCTTGATCATTAGGGTTTTTGCACTAGTGATTTAAGCGAAGTCGTGCCGCGATCCAGATTCACGTGACCGCGCGATTCAACGGCGCGTTGTCGCCTAGAATTGTCGTTGTGCTGCCTTGCGATGCGGGCCCGGCCATCGTCTCACCCTTCTTTCTTTCCATTCTACATCCCAACAACTCTCTTCCCACGCATAATCAAAGCCGACAGTCGATATGGCCGACAAAGAGGCGACTGTTTACATTGTGGACGTCGGGCGGTCGATGGGCAAGAAGCACCATGGTCGTGACAAGACCGATCTTGATTGGGCGCTGCAGTACTTCTGGGATAAAGTCACGTCCGCCGTAAGTCATCTCATCATAGGCCTATACATACGTTCGATTCTCAAAATCAATTAGGTCATGACAGGTCGGAAAACATTGAATATTGGTGTAATTGGTCTGCGCACAGATGGTACGTTGTGCTTAGCGGCTTTATTGAATCAATCGGTTGTACGCGTCAATCTATCACTGGTAATCTTATTCGCAACTTCAGCACAGTTGGACTGACATGATGTCTAAGGTACCAACGTTTCTGATGCCGGCGTCAATGACCCCGAAGGATACGAGAATATCACTGTTCTACAGACTTTGAAGCAGTATGCCATTCCCATTGTCTAAACAAGTTCGTAGCCATGGCTGACCCTTCGAAAGGACTATGTTGTCAGATGTGCGCGAATTGCAAGCAAAGCTTGTTCCAAGTGCTTCTGATGAAGGCGACGGTTAGTTTGCGGCTTTTGGCTCGTCCTTACCTTTCTAACCGTCAGTAGCAATATCTGCCGTCGTTGCTGCAATTACGATGATAGCCAACGCCACCAGAGGCAAAACTGGCAAACCGCTTCAGTATAAACGGAAAATCGTCCTCATTACTAGCAGTCTGGGCTCTATGGACCCTGAAGACAGTGATCAACTAGACGCCATTGTAAGCAAGATAAAAGAAGATGGGATCCAGCTAGTTCTTATGTGAGTTTGAATATTTGCTTCACTATCGCCTATCTAGATGTCTAGCTCAGTTCATCCGCTAACATGACGTAGCGGAGTGGACTTTGACGACACTGAATTCGGCTTCAAGGAGGAAGATAAAAGTGATGAAAAGGTACAAAGGCCGTTGCTCACTTTTCGTCGAAACTCGTGACTATTGGCTAATATTTCTTTGAAGGCTGAAATCGAAGAATACCTCAAAAAGCTCACCGATGACTGTGGCGGTGTATTTGCTACTCTTGCCGAAGCCGTGGAAGGAATAGACACTCCCGAAACGAAGAAAACTCGACCTGTCAAGTCCTATCAGGGCACACTGACTCTAGGCAACCCCGAGAAGTATGATTCTGCCATGACCATCAACGTCGAACGCTACCCCCGAACTTCAATTGCACGTCCTATAACTGCAAAAACCTGGTTCATCAAACGCGATCCCGCAGCAGAAGACGGTACCCAGTCAACACACACTGTCACTGAAGACCCCGGAGACGGGTCAAATGAAGAAACTCTAGGTGGGGTTAAGACCCAGCGCTTTTTTCAAATCGAAAAAGAAGGCGAAACTGGTGCGAAGATAGATGTCCCGCAAGACCAGCTGGAAAGCGGCTATGCGTATGGTCGAACCGCTGTGCACATAGCCGAGAGCGACAGAGTCATATTGGAACTCGACACTCTGCCTTCTCTTGATATCATTGGCTTCATACCAGAGGATAAGGTCAGCTGAGTTGAGTCCAGAGAGGGTTAACCTGCTGACATTGCTTAGTTTGAACGATACTTGGCCATGACCAAGACCAATGTCATCGTCGCTCAAAAAGGGAACGACAAGGCTAGTCTAGCACTCTCCTCATTCATCCACGCATTATACGAGACAGCCTCGTATGCAGTTGCTCGATTCGCTGCAAAAGAACGGAAAAATCCATTGATACTGCTGCTTGCCCCTCTGATCGAGCCAGACTTCGAGGGCTTGATTGACTTCGAGCTCCCTTTCGCTGAGGATGTTCGCGATTACAAGTTTCCTCCACTTGACAAGAAGGTCACCGTGGCTGACAAAAGCCTGACGCAACATCGAGATCTACCGACACCGGAATTGATGGATGCCATGAGCGCGTATGTCGACGCTATGGACCTGTCGACTTTCGGCACCGACGATGATGGGCAAGTCTACCTTCTTCCTTGCAAGAAACCCAAAGACTGACAACTTGTAGCAACTCGGCTGAATACATGCCCATGGATGAGACCTACTCTCCCCTCGTCCACCGCGTCCACCAAATCGTCCGCTGGCGCGCTACCAATCCCACCGCAGAAGAGTTGCCCGACCCCCCTCCCATCCTAACGAAGTATTCCACTCCACCAGCCGAGCTCGCAGAAGCATCAAAACCTCAGCTCGAAGCGCTGATGCTCGCAGGCGACGTCAAGAAAGGTATGTCACCTCCCCAAACACCAAGCGTACCCCCCCTTCCCCCTCTAACAAAATGCCAGTGCCCCCCAAACAAGCCAGCCGCAAACGCACCCGCGAGCGCGAAAAGCCCCTCTCGGGCCTCAACGTCGACGAGCTCCTCAGCGCGCACCCCAAGCGCGCCCGCGTCGACCCCATCAACCCCATCCCCTCCTTCAAGCAAACCCTCGCCACCACCGACAACATCGACACGTTCAAAACCGCCGTCGCCGACCTCGCCAAGGTCGTCTACTCGTACATCACCAACTCCGTCGGCGACGCGCGCTACGGCCAGGCGCTCGAGTGCATCCGCGTCATGCGCGAGGAGATGACGGAGCTCGAGGAGCCGGCGCTCTTCAACGGCTTCCTGCACGAGCTGAAACGCAAGATTTTCGCGGGCGAGTTGGGTGGGAACCGCCGGGATATGTGGATGAAGGTGCGGATGAATCGGGTGGGGTTGATTGATCAGAAGCTGAGCCCGTTTTCCGAGGTGACGGAGGAGGCGGCGAGGGAGTTTTGGAAGCCGCCACCGCCGCCAGCTTGAGGGGCGTGCAGAGCTTCTGTCTCTGTCCAAAAACAGGCAGGCGTTGGAGGTTGGGGGATGCGTAGCTCGAGTATGTAGGCGTGGTAGGGAGGGGATCTGGCCGGCCTTTGATGGTCTGACAAAATGGTTCAATTTCAGCTTGCTAGAGCTCTTCGTGGTTCTTGATGTGACCATGACATCCAAAGCATCCTCTTTGAATTGAGGCTGATACAGCGCTGTCTCTTACTTCCGTATTGAACGCCACGAGGCTCATATCGCAGACCGCAAATTACCTTCCGCATCCATGGGCGCAATAACCAAGGATGCCTCATCATTCCACGCGCCCACGACAGCTCCAAGCCTTGCTTCAGCATCATCAGAGTCAACACGTCACTCACTCAAGCCATGGAAAGATCAACGTATAGCCAATTCAACCAATGCAAAATTTGTGCACTAAAGTACACTGACTAGCTGGAGAGCAAGACATTGCCTCGGTGAATCGAAAGAGAAAGAAAGCCTCCAAGACATTGCAGAAGTCAAACTGCATACAAATTGATGCCAAGAGAGGACAGAGTAAACGAAAGTCTTGACCTTCGCAAAAGAGAACCTTGGAGTGGGAAAAGTACCAAGCACATTACCACTACCATTGCATCCGCCGTTGAGTTTGCTACCTAAAGCACTCCGTAGACCGACCTCTTGTCATTCGAACGTCGCCGACCTAAGCAGGTGGCGGTGGTGGCGGAAGGTCAGAAGGAGGCTAGTTTTTTTCAAGTTAGCCACCCTGTTGAAACCCAATACTGAAGGCAGAAAGAGTTGCGATAACAGAAGTCGTGGCATATACTTACTGGTGGGGGAGGAGCGTCTCCCGGCGGCGGTGGAGGCGGACTAGTAGCACTACCATAGTTCTGGAAAAGAGCCTCGAGTCCAGGCGGTGGAGCCATACCCGGGGGAGCTCCCAGTCCAGAGGCTTGGCCGTAACCAGGGGCTTGCTGATCGTACGAAGTCGCGCCGTAGCCTCCATATCCGTACTGTTGATTTCCTGGAGGTGCAGCCGGTTGCTGCCAAGGATTCGCACCAGGAGGAGCTGCCGGAGCCGCATTGTAGTTGTTGTAGCCGTAGCTGTCTCCGCCACGTCCTCCACTAGCGGCCCAGGGAGCGGATGCACCTGAGGAACCACCGTCTCGATCATCTCGGCCGCGCTGCTGCGCCCAGGGAGCCGCAGCGCCAGTTGGGCCACGCTGCCAGGGCTTGAGGTTCTCGTCACCCGCATAGTTTCCGTTGCCAGGCGGGGCATTGTCGTAACCACCCGGACCAGATTTGTCGTAGCCACCGGATGAAGGTTTATCGTATCCACCAGAGCCAGATTTGTCGTAGCCTCCGGAGCCGGATTTGTCGTAGCCACCGGGGCCAGATTTGTCGTAGGAACCTGGGCCAGATTCGATGCGTTGCTGCGGTATACCCCCGCCTCCTAATTCTTGCATGAGCGCGTTCATATCGTTATCTATGGCTGATACATTACCGATTCTGCCAGCAGCAGGACGATCGTTAGGTCCACCTCTGTCATCGTTGCGCCAGTTGGCACCTCGTTGACGATCCGGGCAATCCCGAGCCATATGGCCTGCGTTACCACAAACACGGCAGATGACGTTAGCGGTGAAGTTCTTGGCCTGTGGGCAGTCGTATTTGCGATGGCCGATTTCTCCACAATTCTGACAGGCCTGGTTCTCGTCATCACGCAAGGTACCGTTCAGTGCGGCAAGTTCACGAAGCTGATTGCGCTTGAGCTCGTTCTGGCCTTCCGGAATCGATGCAGCCTGATCATATGTTAGCGTGGTAGGGTCGACGTGATGGGGGATTGGGCTCACCGTCTCAATGATATTGTGGATGAGCTTCTTTGCTTTGTTGACTTTGTCTTCCGTGTCGGCCATGATCAAGCAGTGCAGATCTTCCTCCTGATTGCTGGTGTGAGCGGCATCAGAACGTCCCTTGCCTTCCTTGACGGAGCCTTTGCCTCGGATGGCGATCTTGGCGCCGGACTCGGATTCCATCTTCTTGAGGGTGTTGCCACGAGGGCCGATAAGTAGTCCAACTGTTAGTAGCAAAAAAAACTCTGTTAGTGTCTGTATATCAAAAAATGTTGAGGCAAGTGTGTGAGTGAGTGCAAGAAAGGGTTAGTGATAGAGCGATGCCGACTCGGAAAGAATACGACACGCAACATCGGGATGGGCATTTGAGAGGAAAGACGTCAAAAATCAAAAGCGGGGGTTAGTGATCATACTGAAGTTAATCTCGGGATAGTCATTGACAGGGACATAGACTTTCTCTTGAGTCTTAGTCGGGCGCCGGTAGTCCTGGGGGGGGTGGTAGTCGGGAATGACCTTCATTGCCTTCTCGATCAGCTTGTGGCGCTCGTCCTCGAGGCGCTTGCGATAGCGGTAGTCACGGGTATTCACGCGGCGTCCGAAGTTGTCATACTGCGGTGGCGGGGAAGGAGATCTGTTGGTAGTTAGTACGTGATGGAGGCAGGTTGGTACGCGACAAACTTACCTATCGCCGTCGGCGGGGACAACGTCGTTGATCCTCAGCTTCTGGCTGATCTCTTCAATGCGCAGATGCAGCGTGTAGGCGTCAAGCTGTTCAGTTGTCATATCAGCCCGGATGGCCGTTGGGAGGCCCATCAAGCCGGCGGCCTTGTTCTCGGTCACGTCGCCCCAGCGGTTGCGCTTCTTGCGTCTCCTATTGCCATCCGCGTCGACTAGGACGACAGTTAGCGATGCAACGGAGGAAGAGGGACTCGGAGGCGTTGACTTACCCACAGGGCTGCGGCCACGCTTTGCGCTCATCTCGGTGAGGCCAGTTGCAGGAGCGGACGGGTTGTAGCCGCCATCGTCCGAGGGAGTACCGCCTTCATCGCCGAATCTACGTCTATTGCCTAACGGAATGTTGTTAGAGCCGGTTATTCCTTGATTGCGCCAAGCCATGTTGGCGTTGGCGACGGCGACGGCGATTGTTGTTAGTGGTAAGGAAGAAGAGGCGAGCAAGGTGAGTTTGCGACAGCTTAAGAAGGCGCGCGTCGCTAGCGCCGTTACTAGCGCCTTGGCGCTGTGTCACGTGCGCCACTTCACTCTGCCACCCAGGGGACCTTCCACGAGTCTTCAGATGGATTCCAAGTATTGCACAGTTCTGCACCGCTGCAGGCAGCACTGCCGTATCTTGCTTCTTAGGCTATAGCAGTAATCACAAGATGCCGCTGCGGCAGATGCAGGTGCGGATGCAATCAGCATCTGGACCACCTGGGCAGCTTATCCAATCCATAGTCCTAAGATCGTTTCTGTCTGCATGGCGCCCTCATGGGACTTGATATGGCAGGTTTCTGCAAAGGGAATGTTGCTACCTAAATACTGTGCAGGTTAGTTGACAAATGTCATGTAGAGAATATGGCACTGGAGCCATCCAAGCTATTTCTAATCCTCTCCCCTCACTTCAACGCTATTTGCTCTAGGAAACTCACCCCACCTCTGAAGCCTGACGTCGACATATAAAAGCGGTACTCCAACTACGTAAATCTGCAGCATCCTCTGGTCTGTCCTGTTTTAGCTTGCTTGTCACATCATGGCGTCAGACCCAAAAATTACTCTGTACACGGCCCAGACGCCCAATGGCATCAAAATTTCAATCACTCTCGAGGAATTAGGGTTCGTAAGCACTCGGAGCCTCTCAGACGCTCACAGACCGACACCAATCTTACTCCTACAGCTTGCCTTACAAGGCCCAGAAGATTGACATCAGCAAAAACACGCAGAAAGAACCGTGGTTCCTTGCGATCAACCCCAATGGACGGATACCCGCCCTGACCGATGTCTTTACCGACGGCGAGCAAATCAACCTCTTCGAGTCGGGCAGCATAATGCAGTACCTGGTGGCCCGCTATGATACAGACTACAAAATCTCGTACCCGGCCGGCACTCGCGAGTTCTACCAGATGAACAATTGGCTCTTCTTCCAGAATGCTGGCGTCGGTCCTATGCAAGGTGAGAAACGCTGAGTTTGGACTACTTTACCTGAATGTCCGCTAACATGCTCATCTACAAGGGCAAGCAAACCACTTTACTCGCTATGCGCCAGATATCTTTGAGTATGGCATCTCGCGGTACCAAAACGAGACGCGGCGGCTGTACGGCGTCATGGACAAGCAGCTGGCAGCGACAGGACAGTACCTAGTCGGGGATAAGTGTACGATCGCGGACATTGCGAACTACGGGTGGGTGGCGTCGGCAGGGTGGGCAGGCGTCGAAATCGATGACTTCCCAGCGCTCAAGGCGTGGGAAGAAAGGATGGAGAAGAGGCCGGGCGTGGAGTTGGGACGGCATATTCCCGATCCGCACAAGATCAAGCAGTTGATCAGGGACAAGGCGGCCGCTGAGAAGTATGCGGCGGACAACCGAGCGTGGGTGCAGGCCGGGATGAAAGATGATGCCAAGAAGACTTCGGTGGAAAAGTGAGTCGCCTCTTGGGAAGAGTTGCAGGGAGGAGAGCAGGGGATCATCAGCATGGTCGAACAGGCTGTGGATAGGCTCTGAAGTCGTCGGCCAGGGATCTAGGGGCAAGTTTGGAGGGCCTAGGGTATTTGAACAAATATGCCATCAATTTGGACCCTTCCCTGGAAATTGTGAGGTTCTCCAGGTTAGCTCGATCTTAGACTCGGGCAGTGCATGAACACAAGAGTTCTTCCATAATGTACACGTTCTCCTAGCTTGTGTATCTGCCAAGCACTGCTCGAGGTCCAGTACGTGGTTCAGAACAGCAAAGCAGCAGGTTTAGCAAGCTTGATAGCTCTTCGAGTCACCTCAGACGACGTTAGGCTGCCAGCTCTGCTCAATGGAGTGTGGTCGTGGGCTTCGGTGCTCCCCTGGACGAGTATGATCAGCTCGGCGGGTGTTCCTCAGGCTTGCCGCTTCGGGTACTTTTACGAGCGCGTGAAACTCTGCAAGGCCAAGCAGTCCCCGATCAGGACAGCCAGCCGTTGCCCGTCGGTGATCGATCGTGCAGAGGGGGGTGTCTCAGACGACGGCACAAACACCACAGCGCGCACCGCCAAAAATAGCAGGCTTCCAGAAAGCCATGCCCGAGCGCTGGCTCCACCTGGGCACTCTTATTGGTGGCGCGGGCCAAGATCTGAACGGCTCGAGGGTCTCATGCAGGTGCAATGCAATCCGTGCCGTGGGCGAACTGCCCACGATGGCGTGTGGAGAAGAGCATTCCTCGCGCCGCACACGCTGCAGGCGGCTCAGCGACGACGACGCCGCCGCGATGCTCTGACGCGCACATGGCGGCGCGACGCAACACAGGTTTGCGTGCTGTTTGCACGACTGGGGCAGCGTCTGGCTCCTGTCGCGGCTGGCACCCCGGCTCTGATGAAATGAAATTGGCCGTCGCTAGCCCCGACGCCCCTGTGGGCCGCCAGTTGCATCTCAGGTCGCTCCACCACCTCACCTCCCCCGAGCAGCCTCACCACCACCGCGCCCGCTGCGTCGTCGACCATTCTCCCCGCGACCCTCGCAAGAGGAGCCTGAGGACGGCCTGCCTTCGCTCCCTCCGCCAGGACGACTGCGACCCCCATGGTCCTGCCCGCTGCATCTGCTCTGCCTCCGTTCCGCGCACACATGGTCGACGACGTCTGTTCCCACGACGCTCCACACGCTCCCTCGTAATTGCTTACTCAAGGTGCGTGTCCATGTTTTGGCCTGCGCATAGCCTTGTGCGTATCGTTGACATTGATAGCTTCCGTTGCTGGCCAGTCCGACTGGCGTCCACTCGTTTCACGCCCTCCGCATGCTGTAATCCATCGACTGGACCTCCCCACGCCTTCATCGAAGCCGTCCACTCCTTTCGCGCCATTGATAGCGTAGGAATATCAATCACCACGCTCCCTAATCGTTTCTCTTGCTGCTGAGCACGCCTCGCACAACCGCCGCGCCTCCCAGCGAGCGTCGACCCTCTTGCGCGCTGCTGCGCTGCCATCCTTAATCGTGGGATGGAACATCCCTCAAAACGACAAAAACTATCCCGAGTACAAGCGCCCTATCGCCGTGCTTTTGACGCGGGAAAATTGCCGAATGCGAAGGACGCCGCTGTGTTTGAAAGACCACTGTCGAAGAAAGGCTCAGAACCGCCCGTTGAACATCGGCGCGAGCCCTTGCCTTTGCGCGAGATGAAGGGACATAGAGTGGTTGGGGACATGCATCGGAAGATGCATCACCGGCGACAGGTCGTTCTACCTTCAGAGCTTACCGTCATCGTGAACGTTATCGCGACCGTCGACCAAGACGGCAACACGGTTGGCGTAGAAACAGTAACGCCAACTTCGACAGGGACCTCAGCTGCGTCAATTGCGTCTGCTCTAGCTGTACCATCAGTGTCTTCAGTGGCTGTTCTTCCATCAGTTCCCGCGGTGCCAGCTTTCCCCAGCGACCTCACCGTACCTGCCGTTCCCCCATTTCCCTCGTTGTCTCTGCCCTCGGTACCGGCATATCCATTCACTTCGACCGCGGAGTCTGCAGTATCCGTCCAAGCCCAGGGCTCCCAGGTTGTCATCTCATCCCCTCCGTTGACGTTTTCGCCAGCGACAACCTCACTTCCAGGGACTATATCAATTTCAAATTCCGCGAACTCCTCCTCCTCCTCTTCTTCTTCTTCTTCTTCTTCTTTTTCCTCTACTGCTTCTTCTTCGGCAACAGTTGTGTCTGTTGCTGATTTCTCCAGCTTTAGCGGAAACTCAAGTAAATACACCTATCGGCGTTCACAAGCCTTCACTAACGCAATACCTCAGGCACCACCACCTTGTCCAGTACTAGTTTCTCTGTCGACTTGAATAGTACAATCTCATCTACATCTAGTCTCACATCTACTTCTCAGAGCTCATCTAGTCAATCATCATCCCAGACGACAAGCACCACAGCGCAGGAAGTTTCATCAACTACAACATCAGCCTTCGGAGGCGGAGGCGGAGGCGGAGGCGGTGTAGGTCCGGGTGGCACAGGGACTGCCAGCAGCACGCCCACAGCAGCGGCAGGCAATGGAGAAGGTGACAGCTCCAACAAAAGTACAATTTCGACTCCGAAGGTGGTTGGTAGCGTTATTGGCAGTCTCGCCGGCCTTGCCATTCTGCTCATAATTGCCCTTTTCCTACTACGTCGATACAAGCGAAAGCAGCAAGGAGCAATTCAGCTATCGACGACGAACGACACCACCGACACTGGACCCGTCGCCCTTGGTGGCCAGCCCATGGCACAGCAAAACACCTTCATGCCTGTCGCCGCAGCCTCCTTCCTCAGCCGCTTTTCTGGATCCTCGAAGGGAACTGTTGAAACAGGTGGTGCTGGTCAAGAGCGAGGGTTCCAGAAAATATCAGGACGGAAACTTCCCTCGGCTTTCAGCGAAGGCATGACTTCAGACGCGGTCCCTTTTGATAGATCTACTCTGTCAGGCTCGTCTTTCTACCGTGATAGCCAAGGCTTTTATGGCGGACCGGGTGTTCCCGTCGGGGCTGCAGCGGCGGGTGGTCTAGCTCACGAAGGTGGCATTACGGAGGAGAAAATGATGCCATCACCCGCTCGAACGCCTGTCATCCATCATCCAGACGAGGACCCACCCTTCCGCGGCGAACCATCAACAAGCCCACCACACTCACCTGTGCCACTACCTCTGGGCACTCTCGGTCGGAGTCATCCCTCACACGATGGTTCCAGGGCGTCGAAGTTTACAGAAGAAGTCTGACGATATCATCCCGACCCTATTCCCTTACTGTCTCCCAGCTCAAAAGCTAATAGCCCTAGATGGTTTAGCTAGGTGCATGAACTCGGCACTAATGTCATCCGTGTTGTCTGTTCCTTGTTAGCTTAGTCTATACTATTGCCCCCCTTCCGACTGCCAAATCTCCTTAATGCGGCCGGCTTGTCACGGCCTCTAATGTTTGTTTTCTATTCCCTTTTATGTCGATGTAGAGGGTGGAAGCGCTATGTTCCCTATCTCTTCCTTGCTACGAGCCAGGCCTCCTCGCATCCTACCTATATCCCCTTTTGTGTCCTGATACAACCCCTTCAGTTTGTAGCCCGGCGCTTAAGCTGCGGCTCAGTGTATCTTTGTCTGTTTCTTTTTGCTTCACTGTAAATAAGTTGCGCGAGCTTCTTGGCCTTTGTTGGCTGGGTTGGGAATGGTCTAGTTAGCCCGCTTGAACGTGAACCTGAGGTGTCGGTAATGCAAAATATTAGTTCAAAGGTCTTCTAAAGAACCCCTTGAATGAAGTGAGGGCGTACGGAAGGAATAGTCACGGTAGAGGTTGCGCTGAAGGTGCTATGGTGCTAGCGAAGTCATGCCGTACTGCTACTCCACTAACTACGCATCCAGCGCTCGGCAATGGCGCCTTCCCAAGAGCGAACGACACCTCATCACAACATGTGCGAAACGTAGGTATTCGACAACAGCGTCACTCGAACACGGGCGCATACACTCACATATCAACGCCATCTCCATGAGTGCCTGCCTGACTAGGAAACAATATCGCATTACTCCTGACCACCTCCAACTGTCCTCTAACCATCGGTTCTCTACAACCATTACAGAACGCCCTCCCGCTTCCTCTCTTCTCCGACACACACAGACTCGAACGCCAATCCAAAAAAACCCCCCCACTTCAGCGGAACCTACCTACCCTACCCTAACCGTAGGAGATAGCCGTTCTAAAAGCCGACGATACGCCCCCAGCCAACGCTGCCATTCTTCGCCTTCGCGTCCTGCCTGCTCTGATCCTCTCCCCAACACACGTCCCGCTCGGCTGCTCGGCTTTCACCATGGCCTTCTAGTTATCATTTAGCCTGTCGTCTTTTGAATCTGATTAGGCATTCGGATCGGCCGGACAGGATGAGTGGTAAAGCGGGGAGGTGTGTACGATTAGACTGGAACAGGAAAGCATTGGGTAGCTGAAGCGTGGCTCGAGGGACGGAAGTCGGACACAGGTGAGATTTGCGCCTTGCAGAACGGCAGGTCATCACGCGTGTTGCCGAGAAGGCGCTGCTAATGTGAATATTTCTCTTGATGGGTGAGCGTATATGCCGTGCTCGAATGACGGCTGTTCGTCGAATACCTACGTCTTGCATATGGAGTGATGAGGTTGCAATTTCGGTTCGCAGACCCAGTTGAGGGATATTTGGGAGAATGAATGGCAACCGTCACGAACGCAAGCCGTTTGATGAATAGAAGGGAATAAAAGCTGATCTACCAGCCGAATGTATTGGGTATCGTATGCACGCAACCACCCCCAGTGCTGGTTTACAAAACAAGAATGGACCGCTCCAGAAATGCAGTCTTCGTCGCTGGAAGTCGTGAGCAAAAAAAGGAGATCGTATCAACATGCCATGCGTAGCCGCAGCCCCCTCGCCCCCCCTTCATCCAAATCCCTGTCTAGAAACTCACCACAACCCCAACGATCTAAATCTCTAAATCTCCATGTTGTCAAATGGATCCCAGTCAGGCGGCAGTCCCCGGAACATAACATGCCCCTTGGCATCTAGCCTCGCGTTTTTGCTCGTGATCCAGATCTTGTCGCTATACAGTGAAGTACGCCTGATCTCGTCCGCCGTGATTCCAATCTCATCGTGCGGGATCCAGATGGCGGGTTGAATGGCTCTGGTGGCTGGATGCTCGAAGGCGCGTTTGATGAGCTTCTGCCTCTGCTCTGGCTCGATATCTTCTAGGGCGTCTTGCATGTCCGTGAAGAGATACGCCTCCGGGTTTGTTTGCGCCTCGATGTCTCGGATGGGCCGAGTGGTGGTGTTGACGGCATCGTCGATGCCTTCGCGGATCTTGCCAGTTATGACGCCGAATGGGTTGGATTTGGCCTTCTTATTAGGCTTTCCTTGATTTTGTTCAAGGCCAGGAGATTGAGCGTGGAAAGGCGAGCGTGACCTCGAGCGATCTGCCCATGATTCGCGTTTCCGAGAGGACCCAACGCCATCAGTCTGCCCGCCCATTGGCACACCTAAGCGGCGGCCTGATCTTCTCTTATCCATGTTCTTCATTTCAATGGCGTCAGAGTTCCGGGCTTGCTTTGAGCGTCTGACGTCTTCTTCCTCGAGCTGTTCATTTTCCTGCTCTTCTCGCTTCTCCTGTTCCTCTAGCTCACTGCTCAACGAGTGCTCTTCTTCTTTTTCTGCATCCTTCGGGGCCCATCGGCTTGCCTGTGCCCTTTCGAACTCTTCGTCTCGTCTTACAGCATCGTCTTCAAACGTGATTGGGAGATACTTGTACAGAGGCCCAAAGGCATTGTTGAGAACCAGTTGGAAACCTACGGTCGCAACCAAAGCAACAACCATAATGATAGCCTGAGGGAAACAAGCGACTTTGTTTCCTGGGCCTCTGACAAGGAAGAATAGACCTATCAGGCAAAGCTCCATGAAATACAGGCCAGTGAACAGTTGGTTGATCGCTTTCGGAAAAATCAAGCCGTTGGTTTCTGCGGCGGCGAAAGACACATAGATCATCTGGTAACGGTAGGTGAACCAGAACAAAGCGAAAGTCAGAATCATGAAAAGCATCATCAGCGGCGAGATGATGGAGTATATGAGGCCTTCGCGTAAAGTTAGCATTGTCAGAAGTAGGAGCGAGGTTGCTTACCAATGGCACCAAAATTGGTGTAGACGGGAATGAACGTCCCCCAGTTGACTGATGAGCCACCCAATACTCGCTTCACCTTTTGTCTCGCAGTGGTATCCAAGAAGCCAGTAAGAAGCATCATCCCAACTCTGCCAATCTGCAGAAGGGTGCCAGAGCTGATACTTAGTGCCTGGAGAATCATGTAAGAAAAGAAGTAAGTCGATGCTCCGGGCAAGTTCTTTGCAAGAGTCCCAGGGATTGAAACAGGATTGTCGATGATAGTTCTGATGGTCCTAGTGATACCGGCGGAGATGGAAACGACTAGAAATAGTTGGATGAAGACAAACGCGAAGTAATAATCTTGAACCCTCAACTCTTTCTCGCCAGCCGTCGCAACTCCAGAGAACCCTGCAAGGAACCTCATGAGAAGTGGCAGGATTGCGAACAGGATGCCCATGAAAGCAGGAGGCAAGACACCTTGAATCAAGTTGATAACCCAACCAGGTAAGTGATTGATCCAGTTCAACCAATGCAGCAGGCCAGTAAGGTAGGAGAGTTGAGATACCAGCGCTGTGAAGGAGACTGGAAACCCCCATAAGATGACAAGCCCACCGATGCTGGCTACTACAATCGTGGTTCGAAGATATCGTTCCCACCATTTGATAGAGAGATTGTCCCAGAGAACATAGTTGGGATTCACCTCTACTGTTCGAGGTGCCATTTGGCGTGGAATGTGGTGGCTGAGAGACTGACAAGCCATGTGGGCTCCAACTTGGTGGTTGAATTGAATGAAAGCCGAGTTCATCAATGGATACTTTTCTGGGTTGGCCTTGTCTTGTTCGATTTCGTAATTCAATCGTGCGAGTTCCTTTCGGCAGTGGTAGATAGTGTCGACCTTCTTTCCAAGGAGTGGGAGGGCAGGAAACCAGCTCTTGTCAAGCAGAGGCAGCCGCATGGTGTCTCTGTCTTTCTCTTTGATATATTTCCTCCATAGTGCATTTTCATCATCTTCCGGAGACTCCTGATTGTAGATCGTCGAGTAGTCGTAGGTCTCTTCTTCGTCCTTTTTCTTCTCAGTTGGAAAAGGAAACTCAGTTCCCTCTGCGTGAAACGGCTGAGGACTAGCAAACTCGCTTTTCCGTCGCATCGGATTCCCTCGGGCGTGCTTCAAAGTCTTGAGGTGGTGCTTCTTCATAGTCGGCGTTTCGTCTTTTCCCGGAGTTTCTTGTGACTGCGGCTGAGATAGAGACTGATGACCTGGTCCCTTTTCCGAATCAGTGGCTGGAACGTTCAAGCGTGCATAGTCATCAACGCTAGGTCCTCGGCGTCCGTAATCAGAGTCAATGGGAGATTGATCGACTGTTCTAGGGCTGGCTGGGTCTTGGGTGCCGTCCATGGTATGAATACCCGCATAATCATCCTGTCCTTCAGATATTAGATCAGACGTCGCGGTGACTTGCTTATCTTCGTCTTTCTTGAATGCCCCACGGAAACCGCCCACCATCTTGGAGCCCATTTTTCCAACTCCAAGCCCAACATCTCGGATGCCGTGACCCATCGCCTGCAGGCCCTCCCCAACAAGAGGAATCGGTATCTTGTGCCGCTTGTGTGAGTCGGGCGACGATGACCGAGATGTGGACACCGATGACCCTGCTACGTCCTCGTTCAGCAACTCATGCATGGCACTTTCAATCTGATGAGGGTTTCCAGAACTCATTCCTGGGTCCTCCATGTTGTTTTGCATTTTCTGATTGTGATCTTTATCGTCTTGTTTCTTTTCTTTCTTACTCTTCTTGATACCCGCCGCCTTCTCCTCTTTTTCCTTCATTTTGCGATGTTCCTTGGTGCAATTAATGATGAGATCAGTCTCGGCGCCCTCAAGCTTCCTTGCAATTTTCGTCCTCTTTTTGATCTTGTCTTGAAGCTCGTCATAATCTCGGTTGATCCATATTTCTCGGAGTCCTCCCGGAAAGACGTCGTATAGAGCATCTAGAGCTTCCACAGTCAGCCATTTCCGTGGAATGCTCTGCACGAGAATTGTAGTTGCGGAGGCACGAATGCGGTGCTCTGGCTGGGTCAAAACAGTCTGTCGTAGACGAACGAATGCCCTCAGTTCTCTGTAGAATTGATAGCACGCCCAGATAACAACAAGCAGCGCCAGAATCAAATGAGCCCACAGCCGGTTGACTTTGTTTGCTACTGCCACATTTGTCCAGCCGAAGGAATCCATGCCCGAGACGTCCTTCACGTCACCGACTCGGTTGAGAGGCAGGAGTATAGGTAGGATGACGATCGCCATTGGGACAAATATCTTGAGCAGTAATTGGAGATAGCGGAGGAACAAGTATCCATCAACGCCAGCGACTCGGATAAGTGTTTTGCTAGGCAGAGTGAAGACGTTTTTGAAGGATTCGATGGCAGAGGAGGGAAAGGCGATTTGTTTGCTTTTGGATACGAAAGACGTCTTGTAGAAGCTAATATGGTCAGTAAGACTTATAGGAAGGTATGTTTGGAGACATACTAGATCCTGTGGAAGAGACTCTGGTTGCGAGTCTCTGGGCGTTCACCCACGAGGCCCTCGTGAAATTTCCAATTGCCGCTGAGAATAAGGAAGGCGCCCATCTGAATGCCGAAAACGACGGCGGCGGAAGCTAATGAAGCCCAGAAGGTCTTCAGGGACATGTTGGACTGATTGTGGGCAGAGCCCGTGGAGGTGCCATCGGCAGAGATGGCCGTTTGGGTTGCCGAAGCGGTCGACATGTTGGCGCTATGTGGTCGTCTCAAGACGTGGGAGGGAATGGGTCTTTATCGAAGAAAGGACGCTTGCTCAAGCTGAAGGGGGGTCGAGGAAGCCAGTCCGCATCAAATGGTCGTGTCAGGCATGACAGTTTCTCAGAGTCGAAGAGAAGCCTGTGTGAGGAGAGGTTCGCGCAATAGTAATAGAGGGAGGGACAGGTCAGGGCAGCGGGATTCAAGAAAGGGAGTCAAGCAGCAGGGCAGTCAGTAGCGATAGCCGTTGCTAGCCCGTCTTTGGTGTTTGGCTTCTGGCCGCGCCAAGCAGTCGGTTTGGCGCCACCACGTCATCGCCGGCGCGTGTCGAAACCCTGACCACCAAGCGATGTTCTACGGATGCCCTCCGCTCAAACACAGCGCCAGCCGGCGGGTGCTGCCATCGACGCGCGGTCACGCCTCTGCTTGTGGCATGTAACCGCCATGTAGCTTGATTCACACGGTCATGGGCTGATTCAAAGTAGAGCCCGTCTCGAAACTCCACTTCTGGTTTCTTTCATCGACGTCGATCATGTCGTAAAAGCTCCGCACAGACCAGATGTAGACCAGGAATGCAGCACCACAAAAATCAAGGCAGTACCCTGTCCTCACGCAACACGGTGAACGGAACGTCCTCGCCAAGCCGCCTTGTCATGTACCAGACCCCTATTCCAATCACGCATACAGGTCTCAAAGTCGTCAAGAAAACACTTAGCTTTGGGCTTCATATCAGATCTTGATAGGGGTTACGACAAGGATGCTAATCCACGAGGATAGTAAGATCTCAGATCTCGATAACTTTAAACTCACAGCAGCCACCTGGGTTTGGCCTGCGGAGAAACACGAGATCTGACATCTTACCATCCTCGTGCATTAGCATCCTTTTCGTAACACCCATCTATAGATATGTATGAAGCATCTGTACCTGTGTATAAGCGAAAGGTTGAGTGTTTTCTTGGCTTCTGACAGCAACGTAGCCGAATCTGAGTCAGAGAGGCTTAATGAACTGCTGTCCTTGAATCGAAGAGGCATTCGTTGCTGGCAATGTATCTAGAAAATACTACCATGTCCTGACGTTCAGCCTGGCAGTATCGTATCATTAGACTAAATTTATATGCCCTCCACAATACCCACGCATTTCTCCACTACTTTGAAAATATTCCACTCCAGGACATCCCACAAGAGGCTATGTAGGTTGGTAGCACGTTGGGAATGTCGACGATGTTCCGGAGTTGCTTGAAATGGGCGGTTTCTAGGGGGATGTGTAGAGACGTGTCGAATCTTCCTGGTAGGTTAGGTGGGCCGGACTTTCTGTAATACTGCCTGACTCTTCAAGAAACAATGGCCAAATTCTACATCCATCATCTAAACGGCTGAGGTCGGCAGGCCTCCAAGTTCCAGTTGCAAGTAGCTAGACAGCAATGCGGACTCGACGACATCCTCGACAAGTAACATGTGCATTTGCACATTAGGCCAGTCAGACTCATGATTATACACCATCCCAAGAACTAATACACGCAGCTGCCGCCGTCGGATCAGGGCTCTAATCCGCTTGATGAGAGGGTTCGGTCCTCGCAGCCAGAGGCCTGGGTCCCAACTCCATGGAAAATCGAACTTGATCGTGGGCTCGTCCAAAGAGCTCCCCTTCTTGCCAACTCCAGCGGCATATATGACCCAACAGTCAAGGATAAGTGCTTTGGGATATTGAATGTCCGATGGAGAAGAGACCTCGTAGGGAAATTAGGACATGTGCTTTCTCATCGACCCTCCGAATAGGTACGTGCATCAAATGTTAGAAGGCCGAGATGAGGATTGTTGCGAGCACGTTCTACAAACACCAGCCCCCCAAACCTCCAAGTCTCAATACCTCCATCCAAACGTCCCGCATCCCCACCCTCCATCAGCTCTCTCCCCTCATTTCCCTGCCTCCTCCTTAATCACATCCGCACACTTCTCCGCCACCGCAAACACACTCGCCTGAATATTCCCCCTGGGCACCAGCGGGAAAATACTCGCATCCACCACCCTCAGGTTCCGCGTCCCGTATACCAGCAGTTTGTCACTCACCACCCCGCCCTTCTCCAGCGGCTGCATCGCACACGACCCGCTCGTATGCCAGTTACTCACCACCAGCTCCCGCGCCACCTTCTTCGCATCCTCGAGATCCGCAATCGGCTCCGGCTTGTCGTAGTTGTGGATGCGGCGCCCGCCGGGCTTAAGCAGAGAGGCCATGGGCTCGGCGGCCATGATCTTCTCGAGCAGGAGGAGGTGGCGCGCTTCGAGCTCGAGGTCGAGCGGGTGCCGTAGGTAGCCGGTATCAATGGTGGGCTTGTCCGCAGGGTTTGCGGAGGCGATGTGCGTTGAGCCGCGGGAGAAGGGGTGGTTGAGGGCTGTGACGACGGTGACGAAGTAGCCGTCGTGGGACATGCCGAAGATGCCGGAAGGGAGGGGACTCTCGCGGGAGAGGAGCTGCATCGGTGCGAACGTGTATTGAGCGGTGGGCTCGTTGGGGATGTCGAGGATTTGGCGGAGTTGCTCGAACTGGGCGACTTCGGCGGGGGTTTGCGGCGGGTGGGCGGCGAGATGGGTGTCTACTAACTCGTTGCGTTCGGCGTCGGAGAGGTCGATATGAATGAAGGAGGACACAAGGGGGTTCTGGCCAAGAGGGCCGGCTTTGGCGGTTTGGTAGGCCTCCATGGCTGCGGCCATGACGGAGGGGTCTTTGGCGATTATGTCGGCGGAGGCGCCGTCGACGACTTCCCAGTTGAAGGGGATGAGCTAGTTTTCAGAGGTGTTAGCGTAATGTAACCATGCTAGTAAGTGATATGATATCGGTTTGTTCACATGCTTTCGTTGCCGTCTGTGGTATTTCAATCTGTTTTTCAGAAATCTGTGGATACCTTTTTGGATGTCCCTGAATCATAGAGGTGATCCAAGTACATCTAATCCAGATTGCCGAAATTGGATCAAGGCACTCCAGACGATGGCAGACGTATGCGCGAAGCGTAATGTACTGAGTGGAGATACTTACAGCATGATCCTGCAGATTCTCTCCGACGTTAATGTTGGGAATGACGACCGGGATTCCATGGATTTTTAGCAGCGATGGGTTGCCAATGCCAGAAAGCTCTAGGATTTGAGGACTCTTGAAAGAGCCCGCGGCCAGTATCACTTCATTAGCCGTGGAGATCTCGCGTAGCACACCGTCCTTCGTCCGCACTTGTACGCCTGTTGCAGTGACGGATCCATCTTCTTCCGTCTTGAGCAGTACCTTCTCCACAAAAGCTTCAGTCACGACTCGGAGATTTGGCCTCTTTGCAATCTCTTCATTGAAATAAACCGCACCGGAGTGGCTTCTCGTCTTTGACACAGGGTCTATGGCACCACCGCTAGTAAAAGCACCGGATGAGAGTCCTGTAACTGGGTCGCCAGTAAGAGGGTAACCCATATTCTTGAATGTCGGTGCCCAAGCCTCGTGATAGGGCATGTAATCAGTCCCAAAGTTGACTTGGACCGGACCGCTGGTACCATGCGCCGTCTCGTCCGCCTCATACGAAACCTTCTTTTGGACCTCCGCGGACGGTGGATTGTAGGTATGGAATTTTTTGATGTATTTGACCATGGACTCATCCCAACCCCATCCTGGGTTTCCGATGGCCTTCCAAGAATCAAATGTCACTCGCCCCGGCCATATGATCATGCCCATGTTAATTGCTGATGATCCGCCGAGCGTTTTCCCCATGGAATGGGCAATTGTACGGCCACCGAGTTGTTTCTGAGGTAGCGGTCAGCATCGTGCGATTCATGGTGGCACAAAAAGGATGTTTAGGATGCCTACTTGTGGAGTGCTGGTGAACTTCCAGTCGAAGTCCGGATTCCAATACGTCGAGGGGGCCAGTCCTGGTATGAAGATTCTTGGGTCCTTGGTTGAATCGGCGCCAGCTTCGAGGACAAGCACACGCACACTAACATCCTCACTCAGACGATTTGCGACAACAAGGCCTGACGTTCCCCCGCCGACGATAATGTAATCGTAAGTCTCTGTCTCCAGGCCTGTGGTGGAAGATGTGTCCATTGCTGCGGTGGCTACAATGTTTCAATAGAGGATAGTCACATGTCAAGAAGGAAGGGTGTGAGGAGCTTATGAGAGATGTAGAAATAGGAGATGCCTATAAATCGTCTATCTACCATTCAACTAACACGTTTAGAGACAGAGAGTTGCTTTGGAAACAAAAGATAAAGGAGGTAGCGCGGAGCATAAACGAACTAGTCTTCGAGCACACGGGGATCAAGATAGTTGATGCCAAGGAGCTCACTGCACTGCAACGGTTCTACTCTTAGAGAATCCTCTCGGACAAGCTGCTGCATCGGTCCGTGGCCGATCGAAGCGATGCCTATGGCGAGATGATCAGTTGATGGCGGCGAGGGATTTTCACATGACTGTGCTTGTTCCCTTTGCATGCGTAATTATATGCATGTCCGTCGCTATCACAATACCCAGGCGAGCTAACGCTCAAGGATTGGTGCTGTGCCGCAGGGCCCACATTTCAGGGGTCCTGTTGTTTGGGTCAGGCACAGCCCGCTGGCCGGATTGAAAAAGAGTTTTTTCCGGGGCGAGGGAACCGATCATGCCCATTGAACGGTGGAAAGCGAGCAGCGTAGGCATCGTGGCAATGGCCCACGGGGAAGACTCGCCGAGTGTTCGCGGGAGCAACATGCTATGGACGTTCCGTCCCTGGGTGAACGGTGCACCCGTCCTCCCGCTGGTCACGGCGAACCCGCCATCGGGGTGCGAAGAGGTTCGGGACGAGGTATTTCTGCCCGCCTAAGGGGTATAATCTGGATGTCCCTAAGCCTCAGAGCCCTTTTATCAGGGGTGGGGTCTGTTGCAGAGACCTCAGACGCGAAGGATGAGTAAAACTTACGTGAAACTTGCGGTAAAAGTTGAAGTCCGGGGTCTCCACGGCTAGTTAGGGGACATGGAGAGAGTGAAGGTTAGGGAAGAATCGTCGTACAGAATACCCACAGCTCACTCCGCGGACACTACACTTCGGGCACCTTGCTCCTTGCTGTCTAGCGCCAAATCCAACCCCGTCGTCCCTTGAACGGACTCAGGACTGTGCTCGCTTCCTTTCTCAACACCAACAATAGACATCTAGCATCCCCATGCTTTCGAGCTATTCTGGACCGACTTGGCTAATTGGAGCGACAGTATTGCCTAGATTGTTGCTCAGGGTTGCGAGAGGACAAGCCATCTTTTTCTCTGTCGCCCAGTGTCGTCAACTGCCGAATGCTCGGGTACACACGAACAGCCCGGGGATGAGAATTGCTTCATTCACCAGGTCTGCAAATTACGAGCTAGGGTTGTGGTCGAACCGGAAAGAGGTATCGCGCCAACCGTCTGCCCTGTTAATGACTTCGTGCCAAACCCTACCGGAAGGCTTCCCGCCCCCCAGTATCAGACGCGTACCAAATGCTCGGGACGGGACGTCTGATCCACCCGCCTCTCGTTCAGAGCCTCCGGTACCAGCACAAGAAATGTTGGAATGTTTTCGCCCCTCTCATTAATGAGGCCTTAGTCTTCTCATCGTGATGCACTGAATATCTCAATTTCCTAGCCTATCTCTCAGCGTTATTTCAACCATCGATTGATATTTCATGTCTTTTTGACAACGTTTTTATCGCCTTGGCTCTAGCTGTAGCAGCACTGTTCTCAACGCACATGTGAATTGCAGTAACCGAGAAGTGGGCCCGTCTGCCGCCCATCCCAGAAACGATTGACAAAAGTACGCAAAACCTCCCACTCGTCGAATAGCCGTGACCGCTTTGTCCAGGATCTTGTACAGCGGAGAGTTTCAATCCTTTCCAGGAGAGCATAGCCGTCGGCCGGGTACAATGTTGCACAGGAACGGCTTCTCTCTGCCGACCCATGAACGCGAGCCGCAGCCCGGCATAAGAACAGGCATTGGGTGCTGAGAAGGGAGCCCACTTTGCACAAAGTCTGATCTCTCCGCGCTGATCATCTTTATGCTTTCCAAAACGATCCCGTGGGCTTGCTCTTTCGAATTCCAGCTATACAGTTACTGAAAAGTCGCCCATCTTTTCGAACATCCCATAAGCCAAGGGTTCTTACATGTACTGCACTGGGTTCTAGGATCAAGGAGCCTAGAAATGAGGCTTGATTAACCTTCTTCTACTCACCAATTCCCTCTGTACCTACCCGTCCCACTATTCTTCTGCGCCTTTACGCCTCCTTGGGCAGTCTCTATTCATCATGTACTACGGCCTCAAGAACAAAGCGGGCCGTGATTTCGTTATTGTAATTCTTGTTTTCTGCGGCCTGTCGACGGTCGCTGTCGGGCTTCGATTGGTATCCAAGCGGATGAAGCGCCTGCCTTTGCAATTGGACGACTACCTAATACTTATCTCGCTGGTACGTCGATAAATCTTGACTTCAAGACAAGCCAAACTGATAGCCTTCAGATGTGCGTGTACTGTTCGGTCGGCATTTGCACAGCATGTATGCTCAACCATGTCTATTTACAGATTTCGCATTTTCTAACTAGACCAGCCGTCACGAGAGGCGGCGTAGGAAATCATTTTGGATTAGTGGTACCATTAGCGGACTTGAAATACACCCTTAAGGTACGTCAAACGTTAGAAAATTGCCAGTGTTAGCTTACAGGTCTCCAGCTATTGATACCGTTGCAAGGCCTATATGGTATCGGGTTAGGATGCGTCAAAACGTCCCTCATGGTTCTCTATTTGAGGATATTTGGCACCACCAAGAAGTTTCGCATCACCATTTACGTCGCGATGGTCATCGTATGGGGTTGGGCTTTCAGCATTGTAATTGAGGCGTTCTTGCTTTGCCGACCATGTGAGTTGGGTCCGGACAGGCATACTGGATCCTCTATGGGAGCCAGTACTTGTCCTAACACCGCCCCATTGTGAATGTCACTTACCTTTTTATGACCTTTAGTTGCTTCCAACTGGGACCCGACGATTCCTGGAAAGTGCGGAAACCGAAACGCTGCATTTGTTGCCGCCGGTGCGTTGAACATGCTGACTGATATTATGGTGCTGCTCTTGCCAGTACCCCATATCTGGAGCTTGCAGCTTCAAGTGGGAAGGAAAGTAGGCTTGTTGGCGACATTTGGTCTTGGTATTTTGTAAGTCATTTAGAAGACAGTCCGGTTCCATCCTTACATCTTATCTCTCACTAACGTGAATTCTCAGCGTCTCAGCCATTTCAATCATCCGCATGAAATTCCTCCTCTCCTTGAACCTAGCAGACGCCACATTCTCATTACCGGATCCATTCATGTGGTCTGTCGTTGAGCCTGAACTCGCCGTTATCGCGGCTTGCATCCCCCTTATGCGTCCATTCTTCACCAAAGTTGCGCGACCATGGTTTGGCGGGTCCTCTAGCCGCGGCACCAAGAACTCACGCAACGGCCTCAATTCCGACGGAACCAAAAAGCAGTTTTCGCGCCTCAACGACAGCAACGCCTCGAAAAACAACGATTACGCGCTCGAGACGATTGGTGGCGGTCGGATGAATAAGGTTAGCAGTGAAGCCAATGGCTATACTGTTGGCGTAGAGGGAGGCAAGCCGTATCGGATTTATGAGGATGGGAGGAGTAAGACTGGGATTGAGGAGAGTGTGCAAACGTTGGAAGATTCAGATTCGGGGAAGAGCAATATAAAGATTGTAGGGCGTGGCGCGTTGCCGGGGGGGATTAGGGTGCAGACAGAGTATAGCGTGGAGTAGCAAAGACACGGAATGGTAAATGTTTGGGACAGGAAAAAGGGATGGTTTATAGATATGATTGAACGAACTTGTATGTACATGCAGTTCCTTACTAACGTATTCCACAAGCGAGCCGTCCACCCAAGCGAGCCGTCCACTTCATCACAAAAACGCGACGCGTCAACTTCCAACCACCATGCGTCGACAACACAACGTGCAATCAATACAAAATGAAGGTCGAATATGCATGGCTATC